AACAAATATATTAAACAGATTAAGATAGATTTAATATCATTAAATAGATATACAATTATCCTTGATATTTTATAAATTAAGAAATATAATTCAAATATCGATTAGATAAAAGATACTTTAATATTTAATCATTATAATTACAATAACAAATGATTATATAATCCAAAAGAATAAACTTTCTAAGAAATCAAATATTATATTATAATAATAACAAATCCTTTATTGATTAATAAAATCAATAAAAAAGAAATTTTAGTATAATATAAAAGATTCGTTAAATTCTTCAAGGATCTTCAAGATTTGAGAACTTTACTAGAATATAAACCTTAAGATTATAAAATCAACTTCAAAAAAGGATTCGTATTTTTTATTGAAAAGTTGAGATTATATAATCCTAATATTATACAAGTATAAAAAGAATACAAAACCAAAACTAAAAAGAAAAAATAAATTAAAAAATCCAAATCTTTTTATATATTCAATATATTATTAGTATTTAAAAAAGATAATTCAAATAATTGGTTTTACAAAGATTATCATTGAATTAACAATGAAACAATTAAAGATATATATTTAATATTAAAAGTTCAGGAATTCAAGAATAAATTGAATAAAATTATAATCTATATAAAATTAAATCAAAGAAATGTTTTCAATTTGATATAAATAAAAAAGAGTTATAAATAAAAGATAATCTTTATTCTATTATCAAATTTATAAAAATATATAATTATATTATTCAAATTAATTAATATATTAATTATATATCAATAACAAAACAATAAAATACTCAAAAAATTCAATTTGTTTATAATTTATTATCTAAATGATATCCTAATCTTTTTTTAAAAAAAAAAAGAATATAAAAGATATATATTGAAAATATTCAAAGCATTCAGAAAAATGAATTCAAAATTCAAACTATCGAAATACAAGTTTGAAATACAAAAGGTAATATTTCTAGAATATATTATTCAATCAAAACAAATAAGTATAGATTCTAAAAAAACAAAGAAAATAAGAAATTAAAAAAGATTTAGAAATATTAAAGATATATAATTTATATTAGAATTCATCAATTTTTATCGAATATTTATAAAAAACTTTTCGAAAATGATAAAATCTTTTATCGAAATAATCAAAAAAGAAATAATTTTTATATAAAATGAAAAAATAAAATAGATTTTCCAAGAAATCAAGAATAGATTTATAAAGAAATTTATTCTTTATAATTATTATAATAATTGAAAAAGTATTATCGAAACAAATATCTTTGATATTTATATAATAAAAATTCATTTATAAAAAAATAATAATAGGAAATTATATTTTATTGTTTATTATTTAAACAAAATAAACAAAACAAAACAAAATTATAATATTTATAAGAAAGAATTTATAATTATTATAAAAATATTGAAATATTAAAGGATTTATTTTTAAAAGGCTAAATTCTCAATAATCATTTATATTAATTATATAAATCTTCGAATCTTTATTATTATTAAGGTTTTAAATAATTATAAATTAATTAGATAGATTAAAGAATTAATAAGATTTGATTTAATAATTAAATATATCAAGGGAAAGAATAATATAAAAACAAATATTTTAAATAAATTATTAGATTACAAAGATAATAAAACCTATTAAGAAATAACGATTTTGAAATCCTTATCAAATAAAGATCTTATTTCTAATTTAATAGAAATTATTATTATAGAAAATAAATTAATAAAGATCTAAAAAGATAAACTTATAAAAACATAATAAAATAAGAAAAACATCAAATAACTAAAACCATCAATAACTATTGATAAATTGTTTCGAATAAAGAATAAAATTTGATTACCAAATAATATCATCCTTGAATATATTATAAAACAATATATATTACCAATTTATAAATATCAAGGAATATAAAGAATATATTTAAGAATCAAAAAGTAATATTAAAATCTAGAATTTTATAATATAATCAATAAAATAATCATTAAGTATAATATTTATATTAAGAATAAAACTTTTTATTATACTCTTTATAAACAAATGAATATTATCGAAATACTGTTTATATTATAAAAATCAATATTATAGGATTTTATAAATCTATTATCAAAATCTAAGGATTCAATAATAAAAATAATATATAATTATCTTTTTGTTATAATAAATAGATTAACAAAATATCTGATACTTGTATTATATCAAATAATATTAATTGTAGAAATATTAATCTTTATATTTTTGAAAGAAATTGTTATAATATATAAATTATTAAAAGAAATATTTTTTAATAAAGATAAACTTTTTATATTGAAATTTTGGATTATTTTAGTAATATTATTAAAAGTAAAAAGAAAAATATTTATTATATTCTATTTATAAATCAATAAAAGAAATAAAAAAATAAATCAAATTGTCAAAGTTTATCTTTGATATTATATGAATTATTAATAGAATAATTGAATAGAACTTTTATTCTTAATATAATTTATATATAATAATTTAGTATTAAAAGTAATATAAATTATTCCGAATTATATTAATTATAAATATAAATTGATTATATATTATAAGTTAGGGATTATAAAAATAAAGAATTAATCTATAATAATATAAACAAAAAGATTCAAAAAAGTTTATAAGGAAATAATAATAAAATTGAAATTTATTATCGAAAGAAATATATATTATTACAATTGAAAATATAATCAAAAATCAATATTAAAAAAAGGGAATAAAATCTATTTATTTTGAAAAAATATCGAAACAAAAAGATTTAATACAAAATTGAATTATAAGAAACTTGAATTATTCAAAATCAAGAAAATTAAAGAATCCTTGAATTATAAATTGATATTACCAAAAAATATGAATATATATTCAATATTCTATATATCCCTATTTGAATTAATACCCTTAAAAGTATTTAAAGTTTTTAAAACAGAAATTATATCTATAAATTAAAATATTGAATACAAAATAGAAAAGATATTAGATTATAAATATATTAAAAACAAGATCAAATATTTAATGAAATAAGAAAATTATTTCGATTCCGAAAATATATAGGAATTTAAGAAAAAGATTAAACATCTGAAAAGATTCCAAGAGTTTTATTAATAAAATCCAGATTTACTCAAAAGGAAGAAGAATTCATTGTTTTTTGCAAAAAAGGATCAAAAAAATCGAATTTGTTTATAGGAATTTCGTTAAGATTAGTAAAGTCAATTAATAATTAATCAAATCGATCAGGGGTTAATTGACCAAATTGATCAAATTAACCAAATTAATCAAATTGATTAAATTGATCAGAAAGTGATGAAAGGGTTATAGGAATTTCTTTATTCTTTTCTTTTCGCTTTTTTTCTTCAAGGATATTAAGTTTATTAAAGTATTTAAACCTGTAATGTAATATTTCATTGTATCATTTTTTGAATTATATTTTTTGTTTAATAAAACAAATAGTTTTAATAAAAGATTTAACGATTTCAGTATTCAATTTATCAATTTATCGATCAAGATTCTTTTAATCATACTTTCGAAGAATTTCATGATCCCAATCATCTTTCAAACGAAATTCAATATCATATAAAACAGAATTTTATATATATTCCGAATAATATAAACAATATTTATCAAAAAGATTTTTAATATAATAACGATTCTTTTATCAATAATAAAAACAAGGAATTATCTCAATATCAATAGAATCGATAATTGTAATTAAATATATATATTTCTTTTTCTTTTTTCGAATTAAATTATTGAAGGAATTAGAATTATTTATAACAAAGAAAGAAAAATAGATAAAATATAAAAAAAGAAAAAAAAAAAAAATATTAATTATTAAATGAAATCTAAAGGGTTATAAACAATTGGGATAATATTTAACTAGAAAAGAGATAATATTATGATTTATAATTAAGATAAGAATATATTGAGAAATAATAATCAATATATTTATATGAATTTAAATTTTATCGAAAAACAAAACGATTTATATACAAATTTGTATAATAATCGCTTTATATAATCTCCTCATTTTTAATAAATTTGGATATATAATCTGATCTTAATTATATAATAAAAAGTTTTAAAAACTTCGAAAACTCTTAGAGCTTTAAAAGCTTTTTGAAGTTATAAAGTTTTACAAAGCTTCTTTATATTTATTAATATATAATCAAAATAATTTCATAATTTAAAAACTTTGTATTCAACTTAATTATCAATTAGTTTACCTATATTCCAATTGATTTAATAATATATTCATTTTCGAATAGATAATCAATGATTATTAATCTTAACCTACAATTATCAACCATATAAAGACCTGAGGCAGCCGCTGTCTCGATTAGATCATTACACATATAACCTTTTATAATTAAATATAAAAAAAGAGTTTTTATCTCTTCTTTTGAGAATAATCAATCTTCTATATATATACATTTGAATCTATATAATATCAATCCTAAAACCATTATAAATCCCGTTTTCTTTATAAAAGATATATTACAATATAATCTAATTCAATTTTCTCTTTCAATTCCCTTCTCACAATATACTATCGGGATGCACGTATCTCGACCTACTATTTTTACAATATATATCATATATTTAAAATCCGCAAAATTTATTAATATCTATCGATATATAATAATTATAAAATAATATATATAAAAAGTTTTTAGATTTTTTATAATTTTAATAAATTATATTTATTAATTGTAAAGTTATTAAGAGGTGAAAATTATTAATTTTGATATAAAAAGAATAATTTAAATTAGAGTGGGGTTGATTGATAGTTTGGAAAAGGGGTGTTAATTAGACTTATACATCGGGATAGTACTTATTCCGGGTATTTTAGTTAGTTAATTTTGGTATTTTTCAATCAGTGTACTCGAGTAGTGGATTATTTATTGGTTCAATGGTCTGAATTTTCAAATGAATTTATAACTAAGTACACAAGATAAAGGAGTATATTCATCTCATTCACCAGTGCACCAGTGATATAGACTAGACACGATATACTATTATATATATACATCTATATATATACACAAGAAGTATTAATCCCTTATGCTTTTCTCTTCCCCTTTCCTTTTTCCTCACCCATCCCATCCTATTCCATATCCCCTTTCCTTTCTCATTCCCATCTTCCCCATCACCATTCATCTTATATATTAAGCTCCTCAATTTCGACCCACCCATCCTCCACTTCCACTCCCCACTTCCACCACAAACCACAAACAAAACCAAATCATAACTCATATGAACATCAACATGAACATAAAACTTGGTATCATATGCATAAAATCGATCATTCATCAAACCATTCCCCAAATCATCCCCATCCCCATCCTTCCATCCTTCCATTAATGCATAAATATCCCGCATCCATCCCCATCCATCCATCAATGCATTCCTCCAAACCAAACCAAACCAGCCATACGTCTGTCCCCAACCCCCAAAATACCAGGGTATTATAAAGGACTTAACGCCAGCCAGCCGGTCCAGTCACCTCAACCCAAATCAACCAAAAGATATTTCCAGCCGATTAGACAGAAAAAAGAAAGAAAGTCATAACGACATAGCGGCATAAATCATTACTTGTCCTCGTCTCATCGCATTTCACTCGACACCTTTTCCTTCTCCACCTACTGTGGCGCAACACCCTCTTGCCCCTTCAATAAAGTCCTCAACGTCAAAACTTCCCTCCTCAACCTAGCATTTTCCTTCTTAACCCTAGCAGCCTCCTCACTACTCTCCCTCATCCTCGTAACTAATTCTTCTTTCGCGCTCATAGCTCCATTAACCCCATTCCCATCTTCTCCACCTGCTCCATTTACCGTCTTTTTACTTGTCCTCAGCGCCTTAACAATCTTTCCCAATTCCGCATTAAACTTTTCATATAACAATTCATTCTCCGCGCTACTCTCCTTATAAAGTTGATCCAATGCCCTGACCTTAAACTCACTAGCCTGCAAACTCGTCTCTAATTCCTTCTTCACAGCATCATTCCTCTCATTTAATTCCTTAACAACAGTGGGAATTTTTGTTTCAAGAAGTAAAACTGCCTCTGAAAGTCTCGCAATATCAGAAGTTCGAGGAATAGCAGAAACAGCATTTAATTTTGCCATTTCTTCACCAATCTTTGACAATTCATTTTGAAGTGAAGCTTCTGCTTCATTAATGGCTTTGGCTTCATTTTGGAGACGTTCACGAAGCTTTTGAGGACTTTGTAGTCGGAGACGTTGAGGAGATTTAATGCCATTCAAGTTGTTTGCGGAGGAGTTTATTGGACGGGAAGGATCACGGGGAGTTCCACGAAGAGTAGGGATATTAGAAGAGAGAGACACGGTTTTATTGTGACCGGCTCGCCATTGTTCTTTAATTGGAGATGCGACTGGTGTAGAGTCTAAGGAGGACATGATGTTTTGGGCACGTTCGGTCAAGTTCCCGACGCTTCGATCAGGAGAGGTAAGAGGTGTGTTTTCCTTGAGAGCAGGTGAATTCCGATACATAAGAGATCGGTCTCTGTCCATGATTGAACCATTTACTGGAAGCTTCGTAATCTTCAACGGCGACGCCGGAACCTTTATAGGAGATGGAGTTCTTGGTGGGGAATCCAACTTATTTGGTGGCGTTGTCATGGCAGGTTCTTGTTCAGGAGATGGAGTCATGGGTCCAACGGCTGCTTGAGCCATCAAACTCTTAAGATCAGATAAAGAGCTTCGACGTTTCTTCTTAGATGATCTAGTGGTACCATTATCATCCTGGTCTTCAGGTGGTGGTGATGCACCAATAGTACTAAGCCTTGATTTTGGTGCAATCGAATCGGAACTACCAGGTCTATCATCAAATGCGCCCATAACTGTAGGTCTATCACGAGAACCTGGTCGAGCCTTACGATCCGGTGATTCAATTGAATGAGCTCTTCCTAAAGCTGGTTTGGATGCGTACTGATCTCCGGTAGCAACACTGCGAGTAGTCTTACTCAAAGTCCTCCAAACTGAAGGACGATGATCTGTATCAGATTTAGTACTACTTTGACGAAAGACGGTATCGGCAAATCTTCTTCGTAATGATGTATTCGATGTGATAGATCCAGTAGCTGAATGCATTGATCGACTTGCGACGGAACCATAATTACTACCACCTCCACCTCCACCTCCACCTCCAGTTCCAACGCCAGCTCCAGGTCCAAGATCATCAAATAATCTATCGGAATCTTCGACGACACGATCCAATAGATTAATGTAGTTATGTGGTTCGCCATCAACAACTAGTAATTCAGCAAAGGCAACGGTAAGAGAACCACGATCACCATCATTGCCACACCCATCGAGAAGATCTGCCAACAACTTGATAATTGCAATAAATGCTCTCCTATTTTGTGGTGCCATCTCTCCAAATATCAACCTCACGTATTCACTGAAATCTCCCGGGTAAAGGTTAATAGATCTTTCTTGCAAAGCGTCAAGAGATTCAAGTGACATGACGGATCCCATCTGTTCCTTCCATGCCAATCGTAAGAACTTCTCAAAAGCCACAAATATGACATCAAAAGAAGTTTCAGAAGCTGCTCGAGTATCGAAAGGGTTTTCAATAAAAGTATTATATAGAGCATTAACAGCCAATTCGTCAGCAGCTCCCCTAGTTCGTAAGTTCTTGCCAACCACATTTCCTTTTCTTGATTGTAGCGCTGCAATGTAACCAGTGAATGTTTCTTCCAGTCGAACAAGTGGATTAATGGGCCTACTGTCTTCAAATGTAGCTCGAACACCACCTTTGCCATCCACATCTTGTATGGAGTGTAAAGATCTGTTACTACTGGTTCGAACAATTTGTGGTGATTCTAGTGACGGAATCTTACCCATGATAATAGGTCGTGAGATTTTATTAGGAGATGCGAATCCATTCGCATTCGTAGGTGAAGGTGATGCAGAACTTCCGAAACCACTATTAAGTAAACTAGAGAGCATTTTGACAGGAGAATGTGGTCGATATGATTTCGATTTATCACCCTCGCACAAAACATCGATAGATTTGAGGATTTTGGTGTAGAAGGAAGTAAAGGGTGCAGATAAAGATGGGTTGCTAATGTGATGTTGAAGTCGAAGTAGATCAGTTACTAAGTTTGTTAGCGAGCCCTAAGAACTTCAGGCAAGAACGTACCTCTCTTAGCAAATGTCATCATGAAATACTCAGGAAGCACCTCATCCACATATACCCGATCATTAAGTCCATCTATCTCAAGTCTATACTTCTCACCTCCTGCGAGCGTTGTAACATTTGCCACAATATCAACACCATAATGACCGACAGGAGCACCCTTGGTACCTTTCTCATGGTCGACCACTAGCCGAACAGGAGCGGGTTCTCTACGACCTTGAATCAAATCATCTACACCCTCAGCGAAAACAGCAGTGTAAAGACAAATTCCAGCTGGCTTCATGGATCGTAGACTCCACTTATCACTTTCGCGCTCAGCCTCGGAAAATCTTCCTTCAAGTCTAGCTTTGATTAATTCTTCGCCCAACCTAGAAGCCTTAGCTTCATAAGCCCCTTGCAGGACAAAGTTTCGAACCGTGGCAGCTTGATTGCGATTTCGTCCCATATTTGCGTCTCTCAACTCATGCAAGGAGGTTAACCAAATACATCGATTGTCATCGGAAGAGGTGAACTTGGTATCGCCAAGAACATGCCAACCAGTAAATGAAAGGTCAAAGATATGTTTTTGTCCGCCAGCAGCTGCAGTAACCGAAGCCATCATAGTCTGCGCAGAAGGTTTGTCGATCTCCGCCATGACACCTCGAGCTGTTTGTAAGCAATCCTTGTTCTTCTTCAACAAAACAATGCAATCTGCGAAGAGCAGTAGTATACCTTCCTTGGAACTCCCTGCACCGTTACCGGGAGTAGGGCAGACATGATAAGGAGCCGGTAACTCAATCGTGTCAACAGCCGTGATTAAACGTCCTTGTGGATGTAATGTGGAAGGCCAAGCATCAACTAGACACCTCAATCGATTCACAACTTGTGATTTATCAGTGGCCGGTGGATCAAGGGAACATATCGAAGTAATGATATCCCTAGCCTTCAGCATCGGTTGTAAAGCCGGATGAAGAATGGGGAGTGAATTGACGATATTGTCAATGAAGAGACTATATCTCGGTAACCTCTGGACGGGCTCGATGACAGCAGATCTCAAACGTTGCTCCCCTGCCGCTTGTACTCTACTTGAGAAACTACTCGGTTGTTTCATGAAGCTCGAAATAATTTGTGGAAATTCCTGGCTCGCATGGATATATTGTTGGTAGCTCTCGGAAAATTGTGGGAACCATTCGAGCAAGACTTTGGCAAAGGCCAGTGCACCAGTAGGGTCCTTCAGACGACCCGAGCCCCCATATCGAGAAGAGGTGGAGCCAACCACCGGTGCCTCTAGGTCTTGCATGGCTTCTTCCTCGGTTTCATCCATCACTTTACGAATCGCCGATAAGAAGGCCGAATTAATTTGTAGGATCCTATCCAAACATCGTGGAAAGAGCTTTTGTAAATCATCTTCTGAAGGACTGAAGCTTCCAAATGCTCGACTCTTGGCCTTGGCTCGAAAATCATCCGCAATATGATTGACCAGTTCATGCATCTTTATCACATAACGCTCCTCGGTATCCACCAATTCTCCCATCTCCCGTCGCAAAGCCAACTTTTGATCTTTGAGAAATGATCGACTTCGATTCAATGATGTCGGTCTCGAAGGAGCTCGGCGGATTCTCGAAGTGGGAAGAAATGTCACTTCTCCAAAAAGCTTCACCAATGATGCATACGACCCATATTGCTTCAATGTAAGATCCGGATATTCCTCTTCATCCAAATCCTCCTCCGACTCCTGTAAAGGTGATATCGAGCCCGGCGGAAGAACCAAATCCATATCCACGTAATTAATATTTTGTATTCGCAACGCCGCCTCGACATCTGCTGTAACTTCCGCGACATTCTCCACCCTCACCATCGAACTCGCCAGATCCGCCGCATGTTGTTCGCCGAATAATTTTGGCGCCGAACCGGGTCTTTGTTTTCTCGAAGTATTCGCAACTTGTAAGATTAAACCACTCTTGACCACCTCTGGTAACTCTTTGAAATATTTGAATAAACCGAAGGCTAGACCGCGGCATACTTCATCGCCCTGTTTATCGCGCGGCAGATAATTTACAGATTGGTATAGCGGTGAGTTTGGTGAAATGGTGATGCGCTGGTACGTTTGAAAACCTGCAGCGGTGAAGATGTGAAGTTGAATTCGCGAACTATTGAGGGTGGAATTGGTAGTTGTCGAAGGACCATGATATATGAGGACGGGTAGATTGGAGAGATGAGGATCGTGGGTGAAGTAGAGACTCAGATGTTCGAGGGACAACGCTAGCTCATCTGTGACTTGAACCATTGTGTGAAGGAGTTAAAGAGGTTGTCGGGATGTTGAATTAGGATTGGATCGTGAGGGCGTGGTCCAGAATCGGGGGTTTCTTAATGAGCTTCCTTCATAGCGAATGAAATAAAAGTGTCTCAAAATTACTTGGTCGAGTTGTTTGAAGGGGAAAATGGTCGCAATACTCGTAATCCTCTGTTGACGAAAAGATGGTAAAGGAGTTTGATCCCGAGGGGAAGAAAAAGTAAAGTATTCGTGGTGGGTGGTGGTGGGTGGTGCTGGTATAGAAATCGTTGAACCCGACTGGTTGTAAATTGTTACAGATGTATATGTACGTAACTGCACCGTATCAAGAACAAGTCAAGGATTTTGAGATATCGAAAGGCTGCAACAAAACAAGACGAGAAAAAAATAATTAAGAAGGCGGCGTAAAGATCCAAAACCTCATAAAAAAAAAATAAGAAGTACAAGTACCGGCACTATAATCTCTTGACCCTCACTGGATAATACTTTTCTCCCCTCTGACAAACCTGTATCGAATCTTTCCGCCTCTTTTTTAGGCTACCTTTTTTCTCTTCACCTTCACTTCGCCTTCACTTCACCTTCACCTTCACCTTCACCTTCACTCTATTCACACTTCCCTTTCCACACCTGGACTTCCCTTGGTTTCTTAGATGGGAAAATACGCCATACGGTGCATTTTCATATGTATGCCCAGGTGTACAACACTTTGCACAGAAAGCGAATTGTGGATCTACGTCGATGTTTAAGCAGGTGACGATCTAGACGGTATTGAGTATTATGACCAGGTAGGTTGTAACTTGATTTTAGATGTTCTCCCAGATGAAGATGATATGTGCAATCTAATCTCCCAAATCCCACATGAATATTCTGTTCTCCCTTCTGTTCTCCCTTCACTCCCCTCCCTACCAAAAGAAGGTTGGCATGATTCGAATCCATATTCATATCCATATCCATATCCATATCCATATCCATATCCATATCTCGACCCATGGTCTTACCTCAAATCCCCATCCCATGTAAGCGCGTCCAGCCCCTCGATTTATCTAAACGCGATGATTGGTCTAAATGTTCCGTCAAAGACACGAAGAGTCCCAGAGTCCCAAAGTACAAGGAATCACCAGGTATAGATTACCCTTCAGTACAGAGCGATAGCAGCACTCACGGGCATTCCCTTCATCTAACCAACCATCCATGAAAGAAATACCCCGCCGTCAGCATTTTTACACGAAACAGCCACTGCTACAGTCTGAAATTGCGATGAGGAGGTTGGTGATCTACTAAGGCTGAGGAATAAGATTATACTATACGTACAGTAGTCAGAAAAAGGAATATTATTATCTGCTGTTGCTCTAATTATTACTTTGCTCCATGACTTATCGTTATCGTCTCTTGCGCCATACACTAGCTGCTAGCTACTCGTAACCCTCCCTTACTTGAGTGCAGAGCAGTCGAGACTCACAACATTTATTCGAGGAAAAAGTAAATTTCTAATAAATCTAGAGGGGCAGGTTCCGATGGGATTTTTACGTTACCTTTTATTGCTATATTTACTATGAGATGAGGGGTATAACGATATACCCATGATTGATGAGAGATAATTGTCAGATAGATAGATGATAGATCTTGATGATTCATTCATCCAGTGAGATTGAATTGACTGGACTTTATCTAGGACACTTTATATGCAAAATCAAACAACTTCTTCCTAGTGCATTAGTTCTTCAACCTCAGACCACCAAACGCATATCTGCAGGCAACTTCCTTGCCTGCAAATTATCTCCCAGATATATCTCACAAGCATCGCATGACTTCTCTCCTCTCTACCACAAACACCCAACTAAGCTGTCTCAATCCTCAATCCTCAATTTTATCCAACCCACCAAAATGTCAACCCAACCCACCAACTCCATCCCCTTCACAGCAAACCACACCCAACAAGCCTTCAAACTCCTCGAACTACCCCCCGAACTACTTTCCCTCCTAGAATCCGACAATCCTCCCACGTAAGTAAGCCAGCCTCCTTTCGCGTGCCCCGCTAATCCCAACCCCCTCTATCATCCATCCATCCATCCGTCCATCCATCCATCCCTCCAAATCCAAATCCAAGTACCAAAAACCCCCCACACTAACAAATCCTTCCTTCCACGAACATCTAGTCTCCAAATAAGCGCCTCCTCCCACCCACCCCACCACGCACATCTAACCATCTCCAACTCCATCTCCAACTCCGCCTCAAACACCCCCTCAAACTCAAACAACATCCTAAAAACCTACACCCTCCGCCAAAAAAACACCTCAAACCCACTCATGCTACTTTCACCCTCCATTCAAAAGATCCCAGAATCACAACAAGACCAAGCTCTCTCATCCCCATCCTCACCCTCATTCACCACCCAACCAAGCATAACTCGAATATCAAGCGTAGAACAAACCATCGAATTACTAGAAGTAGAACTAGAGCTAGAGCTAGAGCTAGAACAAGATGAAGATCAAGAACAAGAAGGAAAAGAAAATGCAAAACCAAAACCAAAACCAAAACCGAAAGAAAAACCCGTCAAGCAGAATAAATGGCATGAGAAATTTGCGCAGAGTAGGGGTTCGGGGACGAAGTGATACTGATGTTGATATTGATATGATAAAGAAAAGGAACAGAATAAAAAGAGTTATATTGTATAATATCATATCACATCAAGGTACATAGATAATAATAATACCTACCTACCTACTGATATTATCTATTATTTAAATCATTTGAATAAATAAATAAAATAAATAAAATATCAATTCTTATTTTTTTTATTCAAAAGTTTTCAAAAGTTCTCAAAAGTTCTCAAAAGTTCCCAAAAGTTAAGGATTTATAAAATAAAATAAATAATATTTAAATCTTTTAAATTATATTAAATTAGATTAAAACTAAAACTGAAATTACTTTTTATATATATACATTTTACATCTATATTTATATTCATTCCCTCCTCCCTTATTTTCTAATTCCCTTTATCTCCTCTATCTCTAAATCCCAATCATCTTCGTCTTCATCCTTCCAATCCCCTTCCCACCCCTAAAACATCCTTATCCAATCCCTTTAATAATCTTTCTTCTATCCCTCTTCTTCTCTTTCTCCCTTACTCTCTCTCTTTCTTCTCTCTCTATTCTCTTTCTCTCCTCTTCTTCTCTCTCCCTTTCCCCTTTTCTCTCCCTCATCCTCTCCAAACCCTCACGCCCATACTCCTCAAACATTGTCAAATGAAAAACCGGTCTACGATACTGCTCATTCCCATTCCCATTCTCATGCACATCTTTATATTTATGCAGGACGGGTTGGGGACCTGGTTCGAGAGCAGGTTGCAAACCCGGTTGAAAACCATGCCGAAAACCCGACACGGGATGAAAAATATGACCCTGAAAAGGCACAGGATTAAGCTTATCAAAGTTCTTAGCCCCTTGGTCTGGCACTTCTTGATTTGGATAGAAAAAAGGTGGGATTTGGATGTGATATTGGTGAAGTAAAGGTATATTTTGGTTATAATTCATGAGGTTTTGATGATGTGGGATGGGGAGGAACCTTGTTGGTGTTGTTGGTGTTGATGTAGAATTTATCGAGAGAGGAATAGAGGTGAAGGTAGCCTTTGAGGTGAAAGTACTCCTTGACGTAGAACTATTCCTCGAGGTAGAGGTACTCCCGGAGGTGGAACTAGTCCTTGAAATGCAGGTAATCCTTGAGGTGAAGATAATCCTTGACGTAGAACTACTCCTCGAGGTAGAGGTACTCCCGGAGGTGGAACTAGTCCTTGAAATGCAGGTAATCCTTGAGGTGAAGATAATCCTTGAGGCGGGACTACCCCCTGAAGCGGAACTACCCCCCGAGGTAGAACTAATCCTGGAGGTAGAACTGGTTCCATAGGAGGGAGAATCAAGGGCCAAGCCCCATTTGAAAGCGGAATAGCACTAACCACATTACCCAGACCCGCAGGAGCTACCCTTTGTTCCAAACGATCCTGTCCCCGCTCTTCCTCTAGAAATCGATGTGGAAATCCATCATATAGTAGATTGAAATCTCCAAGATCTTGCCTCGCTCCTTGTCCCTTCATCTCATGAGCTCTCCCTGCTTGCCCTCTAGCTTCTACATGTCTCCTCCCTTGCGCCGCCACATCATCAAAAGCTTGATTTTGCCTATTTCCCCTTATTCGCTTACTCCAAATATTGCGGTATTGCGTTAGTTCTGGTGCATTCTGTGCAGGTCGTCGTCGAGCTAGAGATTGACCTTCGTTTTGTTTTCCAGCTCGTCCTCTAACATGCTCCGGACCTATACCCCCACTCATCTTAACATCACCATCAGCACCATCAGCACCATGCTTCTCAGCCCCATCCACCACAGCAGCAGGTCCATCCAAGCGCCTCTCAGCCAAAAAATTCATCTCACCAAAATGATCCCAAAGGCCCATATTCCTCATCCCCATCCCTATCCCCGCTTCTCCGTTTTTCTCTACTGGTACGCGCTCCGGCTGGAGGTGATCCCGCTCATCTTCATCGGGGTCAGCATTCCTCGCTCTGATACGCGGAGAATTGCGTTCTCTTTCCCGTCCCCTTTCCCTTTCTCCCTCTCCCCCCCATTCGCCTTGATAAATCGGCCGATGATGTGGATCCTCAGCAAAAATAAAGGGATATAAATCGTGCTGATATCTAACCCTATTCCCACCTTCACCTCCACCTCCAGCTCCACCATCCCTACCAAGAAAACCAAAGAAACGATCTCCAAATAAATCCGCGAAATCCTCATCATTTACCCCTAAATAACCATCCGCATTCCCCTCTCCCTCTCCCTCTCCATTACCATTACCATTATCATTTTCATTAACATCTAATCACAAAATATTAGCATGAGCTTGCTTGCTTGTACATACATGTAATCCAGAACGTTAACAGAGATCCAATGATCTTTTAGACTTTTCCACGGATCCATTTCCACTTCCCTTTTATCCTGTAGGATACGATCTAACTTCAACTTTAAAGCACGAGTCTTACTACTTGGTGGATAATCATGCAACCCCCCTCTTCCGAACTAATTATCCAGATATCTCGAATAGAAATCTTCTCCCTCCCCAGAAAAAAAAGGATCATTGAAATATAAATGTAACTCACTATTTTCAGCATGTGCTTGTAGTGGTTGCCTTTGTCCCATTCTGAAACGCCAGGGGTCTGCTGTCGTGTAGCCATTAGTCAGCAAATATGCATGGAAGTTGTACTTTGCAAAAGAACAAGAGAACTAAGGGAGCGCAATTGAATTACAAAAACAAAAAGATTTCATAACATCCTCCCCCTTGGTTACGGTATATTTCTCTTACTACTGGTTCTAACAAAAGAATACCATGTCTGAGATTATTTTCCCAAACCCAAAGTTCATAATATTATGATCTCGAACATCGAAAAATCGCTACAGAGTACTAACCAATAGCTTGTCTGTACAGCATGGCATTAGGGTTTCGTGGATTCATAGCCTTTCTCTTTTCATCGTCCTTTGTGACATTTTCCGACATCTTAATCTTCAAATCATCCTCGGTATATTCAGGATGCTCCGCACGAACTTTCTCAAGTGCTTCTTTTTCGGCCTGCCTAACCTCGTTGTTGTGTCGATCCTCCACAGATTCGAAGAGTGGGCAATTTCCTTGTTTCCCGCCTCTCCTGATATCATTGAAATGATCGTAGTTGCATGACTTGGAACAAACATAACACTGAACGTTATAACATCCATTCCGTGTACAAGTCATTTTGTTGCAACCTTCTTCCTTTACAAAAGGAGTACCACATTTATTGCAGTTCCTAATCATTGCTGCAGACATTGCTTCCTCAATTTGACGCCGAACGGAGAGACCATTCGCCTTGGCATTCTCTGCGCAAGTCATGGGAATATGCGACTCCAATTTGCAAAGGCGGCAGCTGACTTTTTCGCAATCAGGAGCTTGGCATCGGAATTCTCGATTGATCTCAACAGGAGGGTATTCTGCTGCGAATGGACAAAATGGACAACTCGCGAGATTTTCAATATCAGCCATACGTAAGACAGCTTCTGCTTCATTACGTTCCAAGGCAGTGATAGTTAACTCATCGAGGAACTGGTTCCTGTGTAATGAATAAGTATGAATCCGAAAGGACTAACAAGTTGGGAATACTTACCTCTGCTCAAGAGAAAATCCAGCTTTACATCCATCCGTGGACATACAAGAGAGTTCATATTTAGAATTTCCTATCTCGGTTTCGGCTGTTTGTCGTGCACAACCGCGGCAAAACCAATGTAGTACTTCTTCGCTGTTGCAATGTACCATGCGATTAAGTGGATAGTCGCAATAACAACATGCGCATTCTGACATTGTCCCTTCGACTATAGCTCTTCTCTCATTCTCTTCTTCTGCAAGTTGGGCTTCACGTTCCGCAAGGCGGCGACTTTCTGCACTCTTTCGAATGTTCCGACACGCTTGTAATTCTTTAAAAATCTCCATCTTCTCAGGTGATAAATTTCCTGAAATCGCTTCCTCAAGCCTCTCTTCTCGGTACTCAAGCGGCATCCTTCTTAGATTCTTGATTTTATTATATGGTGGATTAGCGACATCAAAAGTTCTATGTACTTCCTCCAGTGTGCGATAGGCCGTGAAAAGACGATGGCCGGAAGAAAACAGTGTCGAATCTATAAATGCCATTGAAGTTTGTGGAAACTCGAATGAAAGGATGCTTCGACTACAAAAAGTTAGTCACATGAATGTAGGATGAGGGACAGAGGAAGCCATGTGGTAGAGGAGAAGAGAAAAATATACTCACATCAAAGTCCGCTCCAAAAATAAAGTAGGTCCAACCACGCGACCGGCTGCTTCATACTTTTGGATAGCTTCCTCTTCTTCACTGAGTACTCTCTTTCTTTTCAAACCCTTTTGTGTGTCTTTTGATTTTGGATAAGAACTTCCGGCATCAGCTTTGTCCAGTATGTAAGCGATCAATTGATCAGACGATGGAGTCACACTGTCATAAAGACCTGCGACATGATCTCTACAAATTTCTGGAAAAACTGCAACAACTGCATTGATGCATTCCATCTTTGTTTCCATTTTAGGCTGAGGAGAGTTATTTGCTGTTTGTTGAATTGGTTGGTCGGAATCAGAAGATTGGGCAAAAGAGTAATTAGGATTTGAAGATGGATTATATTTGGCGAGGATTGTATAGTCTTCCCACAACGCACGATTAACCTCTTCTTCATAATTCCCATCCACCCAATCCGCCCAATCTATTTGCGGTTCCTCCTTTTTGACATTGGGAAGGTTGTTCATTGATTTTTGGTTGAGTAAGGCTGCGGCTGCTGGCCCAGGTATCCGAGAGGCATACGGTGGGTCGAAATTTCCATCGACGAAATTAATCATTTGGTTATTGGCAGCAAAACGTCCCCGAAAAGGGTCGTTTGGTAGTTCTGGACGTTGCGGATGTGTGGGAAGTTGAGGCGCGTCATAAGCATCTTCATAATCATCGGAATCAGAGTCGGAAATCTCGATAATTTGGTCAACTTCATTTTTGATATAAGCCGGTTTGTTTCCCGGACCATTTGGACGGTTAAATGGAAGTGTTTGGCTCATATTGAAATGGTGGCAGTATATTCAGTTGATCAATTGAATAAATTCGCTAGGAGTCGGTTGTTCATGGTAGTTGAGATGGGAGTGAGAACGATCGTTTGCATATTAAAGACAACTGAGATTTCTATGTGGACCGAGTAATAGACTATCAACTTTGGCGTGATGGTACTAGAGCTGTGGTAAAACTAGTAAAAGAATCGAGTCAGTATCTTCTTGTTATTCCTGGACTAAAAGGCGTTGGTGAAGTGACTAGTGTGATTGGGATCGAGGGAATTGAAACCAAACGATAACTAACACCAGACAGGACTCGGTATATGTGGAAGGAAGTAAATGAAGATGGATTTAATGGAAGATCCTCAAGAGTCTCGAGATTGGGGGGTGAAAGGAGATGAATGAGATTGTAGCAAAGAGTTGGAGTAGATACGTCAAGTAAAGTACGCAGTAAGTGGCATCTTCTCCGCCTTGACGTTTGAGTGAGGGGTTGTGTAGTTGTGGAGAAAAAGTCAAACGAGGATGATCTGCTGGTAGGGATTTTTACCTATCTAGCTAGTTTATATTATACCACTGGTGAACGATAGACGCCGGTGTGAATGGTAGGCAGGTAGGTCGTAAGTAAGTATTAAAGTAAAGTGCATGAGATTTGTTATTAGTGAAGTGAAGTGATGAAAAAGTACTTGATGAAGATGAGGTGAGATAGACGTGGAACCCGTCAGAAAGATTAAAATAGAAGTTATCACCAACAGTTTGTTAGACAGGAAGGTCCCTACTATTCACAGGAAAAGAATGAACATCAATGCAACTCAAGGGCAAGAAGTTTGCACGGGGCAGGTATGTTGGTTATTTTCTCAAGGCAGAAGTGAGTGAACTGGGAAGAAAAGAGGCAAGCTACCTAGGTAATGAGTGATGATGATGGATGAATTTAATTTTATGCATGGATACTTAGGTCGCGGGTGATGTGTGTGAATCAAACGATATCATAGGTTGAATGTGATAATTCTCTCCACTATTTCCACTATTTTTACCATCTCCACTTCTCACTACTTGGTCAGAGCTCCTGATGATACCTTGTCAAATGTCTCGGGGGTGGCTTGATCTTGATGGATGAGGGATGAGAAGGGCAAGGAAAAGAAACCCCCACACATTTGACATGATGCTTGCTTGCTGCTTGCTGCTTGCTGCTTGCCACTTGCTGCTTGCTGCTTGCTACTTGCTACTACCGACCAAATAGTTCAACAGGTACACAAACGGAATCCTTCTAGAACGGGCTGATGGATTGAGATTCCATTTATTTTTCTTGTAGTAGATATCTACTCTACTACCTACTAAGTAATGTAATGTATGTTATCAATTGATCATGTAGATTGGAGTCAACGTCTAGATTTATGAACATCCTCTCACTTCACTTATAAAATCATGCAATGAAAAAATACAAATCAATCCTCACTCATCTTCACCCATCATCCTTCACTTCATTCTCGCATCGCCAATGGAATTATTCTGGAATGGTTCCTCACTGACCTACCTACCTACCCACCTACCTACCTAGCAAGACGTAATTTATTTCCCCAAAAGATCTAATGAAAGAAACACAACATAACCTCACTCAACCCAAAATACCACCACATGCCATACGATCCTGTATCGTTGATCGGGAAATTCTTCTCAGCATCTCTCATACATGGGAATTTGGGTAATGGAACACAACATTTGAGCCATGTCACGATCGTATTGAATCGGTCCAGTGAGAACATACTACACGTTTCTTGCGTGGTACTCAAGTTCTCACTTACAAAATTGGTACGCTCTTACATATATTGAGATCCCCAACGTAAATCCAGGTCTGGAGAATGAATACGGATGTTGGGATGTATTTGTCGATCGATGTGATGTATGTACGGCACGGTTATTGGAATATTATCCTGCAGAGATTCTCAATTTTCACGTGCATCACGACGTTTATTATTATATCATCAAGATTTCCCCAGACATATATACTCGTCCGGCCAAAGTATAAACCCCTTCCTAAATAGGATCACTTTTGATTGAAAGAAGTATAAACCTTTTATATCTATACTCAATATAGCAAGGTTGTAAATTAGATTCTATAAATATGGGTATAAGCGAGCATTCTATTTATATTTTCCTAATATTTTCTGAAAATCCTTAGAGAGTAAAATAGAATATCAGAAAAGTGGTGAGTTTTTATTGATCAAATTAAAATTTTTCCTTGCAAATTTAGATCCCTTTGGGAAGGAGTTTTATACTTTCTGACAGCACGAGTAGTGACTCTTATGTCAATTAATCTCTCATCTTTCCTTCATATGATGATGATGATGATCATTTCTTATCGATAGGGAAGTCGTACGTACATATGTACGAGTAATGACAGCATCACACTACGATAGCCATATCTCGGTAATAGATAACCCATTTCAATTTATCAATCGATGACCTTAGCAATCCAATTGCACGCAGGTACAACAACTCCATTTCGAGTATGTCCTTATATGCAATTCCATATGCAACCCCATATTCAATCGCATATGCATCTACTCAAGTATCGAAGAGGTAATAAATGGAGAATGAAGTTTTATTTGTTTGAAGATAAGCGGAACCCCTCCCTCCCTCCTCCCTTGATAAATCCGGTTATTATCGGCCCCCGTCTCACCGGTCTCTTCATCAATTTACTCCAACCACCAACCATCAACCTCCAATATACGAACATGAAGTGATTAAGCATTTTCGATACCTTTAAAGGCAAGAGCTCTGACTAAGAAGAATTCAGTTTCATGCTTCATGCGATTGTTTGATCACTTGATATGTAGAGATTCACCAATTGCTAATCGCTCGACTCATCTCACTAGCTATTTTGCATTCTAGCCTGCCTTTGAAACTTTTGCCTAGGTACGTATTTAGAAGGTAAGTAAGTATTGAATTCTTTCAAAGACCGCACCTTCCCCACAGTCAATTGCACGTACTATCTACCTAGCATACGATGGTATAGGGATACTATTCTGTTTCCTCCTCATTTCCATGCCCCACAATAGAGGGAATAGAATAACTCTATTAAAGAGCCAGATAACACAGGGACAAAGGATTTCATAATCTAGCTTCCATTCTTCATTCTTCATCGTTTCAGCTACTTCTCCAAACATGTTTCCCGATTACAACTCTCCAGATCTTCATCTGGCACATCCTACTCGAGAAGAGAAACTAGCAACCTGGAATCTCAACTATGAAGAATGGGGCAAAGCACTCTCCAAATCAGAATATCTTCATCGAGAACAATATCTCGCAAGCGTCCCATTAACATCAGATGATGGAATGACATACTGGTGTCTAGTCGACAAAAATGCCCCTCCAAACTCTAGAGAGATTTACGCTTCCTGTGAATCCCTTCGCAAAAGAGCATTCATATCAAGGAAAGGAAAAGTTGAAGAAGTCATAATTCATTCCATTGGAAGTGTATTTTGTCCTCCCAAAAACAGAGGTCACAGATATGCATCTAGAATGATGAAGGATCTAGGTTCCATCCTTCGAACATGGCAAATCGATTCCAATATTCCCGGGCGTTCACAAATCCCCGCCTCTATCCTCTTCTCAGACATTGGAAAGAAATTCTACGCAAATCACGGCTGGCTACCTTTTCCCAGCTCTCATATCGCGCTCCCTCCTATATCTAAAAATACTAAAGCTCTAGAAACCAGTCTAGCATCTCCCTTAAAAGCAGAAAATATCCCCGCCCTCTGCAACCTCGACGTCCAATACATCCGACGCGTCCTCGAACGCGCCTCAGATGACAAAACACACATTGCACTCCTCCCCGACCATGCAACAATCCAATGGCACCACCTCCGCGAAAACATAATGTCCACTCCTATTTTCGGATACGCCCCCGAAATCAAAGGCGCAATCGCAGGTTCTGACCTAGGTTCCCGCGTATGGGCTTATTGGACCCGTGGATATTACAACCCAATCGATTTCCCGAATTCAAGTAATTGTCTACACATTTTAAGATTAGTGATAGAAGATGAAGTAGACAATGAGGAAAATGCGCGAAAATTAGAAAGTGTACTCCGGTATGCGCAAATGGAAGCACAGGAGTGGAAGATGAAAGATGTGCAGTTTTGGAATCCGACGCCCTTGGTGGAGAAATTGTTAGATAGGTCGGATTTGGGTGGTGAGGGTGCACATGAGAGGGTTGAGAGAGAGGAGGAAAGTGTAGCTAGTTTGATGTGGTATGGTGAGGGTGGGGGATCTGTGAATGAACTTGAGTGGGTGGGAAACGAAAAATATGGGTGGTGTTAGGTGGGTAGGTTGGTTAATTTAGGTGGGTAGGTTAGTTTTGTTTGGGTGGGAGTTTGCCGGCAGGATGAATGGACAGGAGTGGGGTGGGAGGGGTATGAAGGACTGGTGATAAATTGATATCTACCTAGTATCTATCTATCTATCTAGATTGGATCACATTGGATTGGATTGGATTACTACTGCGCATTTCAGGGAGCAGAGAGCAGATACAGCTTGCCTCTTCTATACATCATCCTCATCATCGTTGTATGTATGTAGCTCATAGATTTATTTTTCTATTTGACTTTTTATTTTTATGAAATCTTATGATTTGAATTTGATTTATATGATATAGATAGATAGGTGAGTGGCTAAGTTATTTACTTGTTTGCTTTTTTGTTTATTTATTTTATTTTTTTTTATTTTTTTTTCCTTTTTGAGGAATTGGATTTGGTGTATTGATTGTGTGGATGTGAGGATGTGAGGATGGATGGGATGGAATATGTTTATGTTGTACTTTTTCTGGGATCTGGAAGAGCTCTTTGGAGGATGGATTGTTGAATTTGGGGTTTTGGAGTTTAGGCGTCTTGTTCGTGTGGTTTTGATGGGCTTGGTGGTGGTTTGGTTAAGGTAAGGGTATCTCTGCTTCCTTGTATATTACTCGTATTCATATTCATCCTTTTCATGTTCATGATCATGACTCCCCTCTTGCTCTTGAGAACGTTGATCTTGAATCTCGAATTTCGCCTTCCCCTCTTCAATCCAAGCATCCATGATAAATTCTCCCACCTCTACAGCTCTAATCGCCGACTCCACCTCTCACTCTACTTTCTCTTCTTCTCCTTTTCTTTTCTCCCTCCATCCCCACTTCCCCATATTATTACTATTACTATCCAAATCCCTTCCCTTCTCCATTTCCTTCCATCCCCCTCCATTCCCCCTCAACCTGCAGCTCCGCCACGGCAGGTTCCCAAACCTGCGGATGCGAAATCGGCGCATTCCCCTCCCCAGTCTCACCCTCCTTCAACTCCATCACAAGACTCCAAGTACAATCCTCCGGATTCCTCAACCCCTCCAAATTCTCCGCGCTATAAGCTAATTTCCTCAATGTAGCGCGGAGCTCTTCCTCCACATCTATATTTCTAATTTCATTTTTTTCATTCACGCCGCGGAATTCGAATTCGGTGAAGCGTTCACTTGGGGGGATGGACGGGAAGGAAGAGACGTTGAAGATGTAGCGTTCGAGGATCTGGGGGGTGGGGGTTTGTCGGTCCGTGTAGATTATTATGGAAATTGTCTCTATGGTGCCGGATTGGAGGTGCGGGGTTAGGGATGTAATGCAGTTGTTTATGTAGGTGCAGAGTTGGGGGTGTCGGTTTTGGGGTACCCTGGAATGGATGGGTCAGAAGGGAGGGAGGATGGTTTGGATGGGGAGTTGGGATGCTTACGGGAAATTGAAGGCGCGGGTTAGGAGGAAGGTGTTTTTGGGGTAGAGACCGCGTGCGTGGAGGATGGTGTGGATTGAGAGGGTGAGGAAGGAGAGGAGGTGGGTGTGTAATGAGTGAGGGGTGCTGAGGGGTGGAGGACGTGTTGGCATTGTGAGTTGACGATAATTGTTGTTGCGAGGATATCGTAGGAGTTAAGGATTATCGAAGCTTCAAAGAGCCTTCTTCCTGGTGGACGAGATGAGTTTGTTCAAAGAGTGACTTTTTCCTTAGACGGATGGCTCTTGCTAGCGTTGGATATGCATCGTATTGATCGAGTTCGGAATAAGTATAGTTATATTACAGTTATCATAATTCCATCTTATCGCACCTAGGTATTCCCCAACCTGAAACTACCCAGGAGTAAGTAGATTTCGCCTTCACTTCCGATGTCATTTGGATTTGTATCTGTCTACTCGAGCTCGAGTAAGCTACTTGAGTAAAACTTGGCACAGAACTGTACTACACGAGCACTACTTGTAGATCTTCCTATCAAACTTTTTAACTTAAAGCCAAACACCGTGCTCCACCAACCCCTCTTAAAGCGAATACTCTGTATTGTGGGTCAAAATCATATCTTTCTGTATATTCTTATAATAATCATAGGAATTTTGAATTAAATAATACAGCTTCCAGTATATATTTGTAAGGAAATATACATAGCTTGAATATTCATAAATTTTATTATAAAACTATATTATTTCATTAGAAAGGTTTATACTTGTAGTTCTATGATTAAATATTAACAAATAAGCGCGATCTACCCCACCTACCCGAGTAATTAAGAAAGTTCAATTCCAACTCTCTCCCACAAATTTATTCCCATTCAACATCCTACAAATACAAACACTCAATCACTTGTGATACATTCTCTTTTACTCCTTCTTACTTTAATTCTCATATTTGATCTCACAATTTCGGTATTAAATATGGCTTCGCCACACGAAGCACAGCTTCTTCAAATACTTGCAGATACTCAATCATCCGCAGATGGTCCCCGGAGACAAGCAGAACATTATCTACAAACTGCTCAAAATGATCCAGCTTTTCCTTTTACACTTGCTTTAATTGCTTCCAATGGAACTGTCACTTCTGAACTTCGACAAGCGGCTCTATTAAACTTAAAGAATTTTGTTAGTGGTAATTGGACGGGTGTGGATGATAATGGTATGCCGACTGTTCACATTGAGGACGGCGCAAAAGCAGAAATCAGAGCTCGAATGTTGGAGCTAGCGACGAGTGATGTAGATACAAGGAAGATTAAGGGTGCAGCTAGGTATGTGAAACTTCTTTTCGAGTTTGTACCTTGGTCTTCACTAAAGGAGGGGTAAACATGTTGGGTTGAAATCGCATTTGCTAATGTATGATTCCGTGAATAGTATGGTAGTTAGCAAAATCGCCAATGTCGATTATCCAGATCTATGGCCAGATCTCCTTCCAACTATTCTACATATTATTCAAACGGGTACCGATTTACAATTACACGGATCACTGAAAGTATTGGCAGATGTTGTTGAGGATAGTTTGAGTGAAGATCAATTCTTTTCCGTCGCACGAGGTATCGTCAATACAGTTTATGGTGTAGCCATTAATGATGCACGAAAAGGATCATTACGAGCATTGGCCGTCTCGGTCTTCAGAGGAACTTTTGATATTATGGATATGGTCAAGGACGAACACGGAACAGAAGTTAAAGCGTTTGCAGAGGAGGTCTTGTTATCTTGGTCACCATACTTCTTGGCTATTATGAAGCAACCTTTACCTGCACCACCAAAAGAGGGGGAAGAAGATGGGCCAGTTGATCAACAATGGCGTGGAGTAATTGCATTAAAGTTACAGGTTGTTAAGACTTTGATGAAGGTTAAATCGGTTTTCCCAGCATTATTACTTCCACAAAGTCCAGTTTTATTCAGTGCTACTTGGGAAGAATTAACAACCGTACAAAGCTTACATCAAGAGATGTATGTTGATAATGATATGCAAGGTCGTATGGAGGATGCGGACAATTTGCCATATACTTTGGATTTTCTGGTACTGGAAGAACTTGACTTTTTCCAATCATGTTTGAGGGCTCCACCGGTACAGAAAGAACTGGAGGCTCAAGTACAAGCAAGTCCTAGCGTGTCTACCACCCCTTGGGTTGCTGATGTTATGAAGCTTGCCGTAAACTATGCGCAAATTCCAAAGGAAGAGGAGGAGTTGTGGGATATTGATGTCAATTTGTTTTTGGCAGAGGAAACATCCGTTACCACACAATACACATTAAGAATGGCTTGTGGAGACCTTTTGATCAAACTTGGCGAGTGGTTATCTCATGGTGCTTTTGAAGGTTTATTAGCATACACTCAAATGATATTTTCATCGAACGCCGCGACATGGAGAATTAGAGAGGCAGTTTTATTCCTTCTCACTCAACTTACAAACGATTTCTTGGATGTCGACAAAGATGTCAACCCCCAAATTTCCAGAGCTTTCTTACCTTTTATCGATTATTGTATCAACAGGCCACAGGAACCTTTATTACGAGCCAGAGGATATTTGGTTGCTGGTAATCTTGTACAAAGTTTACCTGATGTAGCTCTTGCATTACTTGATCGCACCATCAGTGCCGTCAATAAGGACGAAGCCGAAGTTGTTAAAGTTTCTTGTATAAAATCCTTGCAAGGGTTCATTAAAGCTCATACTGTACCGGCTGATCGCCAGCTCACGATTCTTTCTTCAATATCCGAATTCCTTTACTCGAAAGATCTTACGGAGCTTGAAATTGCAGATGATCTTCTTGTCACATTAGTTGAATCTCTGAGATCTACAATTCAAATGGATACAAGAATTACACTTTCATCAGAGGGAGGAGCTTTGGATCTTTTGTTCGTTCTCGCAAAGCATGGTGCTTCAAATTTTCAATTGACTATGTTGGTCACTGAAACATTTGAGGATATTGTTACATCATTTGCTGGTGGCGAGGGTTACACAGCTTTATGTACTAAAGTTTTGCCTGCATTAACGGGTGCTTTCGACGTGGGAATCATGACTGATGATGATCCTTTGGTTGAGGTAAAGGTGTTGTATTTCTTGTATGGATACTCGGTGCTGACTTGTCATTAGCTTGCCACAGAATTACTTGCACTCCTTACCGAGAATGGGTCCGAACCGCTACCCCCTGGATACGTTGCTGCAGCATTACCCAAGTTGAATCGACTTTTGATGACTACCACTGAGGGTGGTATTTTACGACCAGGTGTTGAGACAGTCAAGTATATGCTTATGCATGATCATCAACAAGTTTTCGCTTGGCATGATGAAAGTAATAGGTCAGGTTTGGAAGTTTGTCTAATAATTATTGATAGATTACTTGGTCCTACTATGGAGGATAATGCAGCATCAGAAGTTGGAGGTCTCGCAGCTGAACTTGTTGAGAAAGCTGGTCAAGAACGTCTCGGACCATACCTAGAACAACTCTTAAAAGCAGTTGCTACACGTCTAGCTACTGCTGAAGCTGCCCCTTTCATTCAATCTTTAATTTTGGTCTTTGCTCGCTTATCTTTAGTTGGAGCACATGATGTTGTCGAATTCTTGAATCAAATTCAGATAAATGGTCAAAGTGGCTTGCAAGTGGTATTAAGCAAGTGGTTAGAACATTCAATCAATTTTGCAGGATATGATGAGATTAGACAAAAGTATGTTTCCAATTCTAGGCCCCTTCGTTCATTCAATTATTTTCAGAAACTAATCAAGAACAGTGTCATTGCACTCTCGAAAATCTTCAGTCTCAACGATCAACGCGTGGCTCAAACAATGGTTAAGGGTGATTTAATCATTCCAACCAGCAATCGGATCATGACTCGATCCAAGGCTAAGCTTAGTAAGGACGGACCATATTTCGCACTTCAACCTCAACTAACACGCCGACCAGACCCCGACCAATATACCGCCATTCCTGCTTCTTTAAAGATCATTAAAGTCCTCATCGAAGAACTTCTTTCGGCATCAGGACTTCAAAATGCAGCAACGGCTGCAGCAGCAGCGGAATTTGCCGATGAGGATTGTGATGATGATTCATGGGAAGATGTACCAAATGTCCTAGATTTGGGATTATCATCCACGAAACAGGATTTGATGGCTTTCGGAGAGGGAAGAGGTGGTTTTGGACGTAATAGAGATGATGAAACTCAAGGTTACTTGACGGAATTCTTTGTTAAGGCTGGAAGGGAAAATATAGGTGGATTTAATGAGTTATATAATTTGTTGACGGATGAGGAGAAGATTAAGTTACAGGAATTGGCTCAGGGGGCTTGAGTGTCGATTGGTGAGGTGGAATAAGTGTGGATTGTGATGGATGATGGGTGATTTTTGGGTAATTGGAAAATGCATACATGCATGGAGGCAGGTGGTATTGGAATCAAATGGATTGAATGAAATGGCATGGTTAATCTGGCGGATAAGCAGGACTGGTTTTATATGGTTTGAACTGTTGGCGTGATGGGTCGCATCAATGAATTCATGACTTGAATGATGATGAAATAATGAGGATGGGATTAAAATATTATAAAGTTAGATAGATTGATAGTTTAGTATGAATTGTAAATATCGTTTGAATATATATTTATATATATGATTGACAGAATGAAATTGTATATTCATGAGTTTTATTTGGTCGATGGTTTTAAATGAATAGATGAATGAATGAATGGATATATTTTAAGTCTCTTATCTTATATTTTGGTCACAATTTTCATTTATTAATAACTTTACAATGAATGAATAAAATCAATTGAAATTTCAATTATGAATAATTTAGATAGATATAAATAGATTTTGAAAATTTTAGATTTAAGAATTTTAGATTTTTTGTAATTTTATTGATTGAGATATAGAAAGTTGAAATAGTGATTTTATTTTATACTAAGGGCCTGCGCCCCCCGGACCCCTGACTTTTCGAGAAAGTCTAATGAAAATTTAAGTTTTAAAAAATTTATAATAAATTTAAATATTGAATGTATATCAGGGTGTAGATAGAATATTGGTTTGGTTTTAATAATTGAAAATTATTTTATTTTATTTAAAAATAATATTTGTAATATTTTATATTATTTATATTATTATTTATTATTATTATAAATTGAATGAGATGAATTGAATGAATAAAGTTGAATGATTTTAATAAAGTTGAATTGAATGATTTCAATTGAATTGTAAATTGAGTTGATGATTTCAATCGTATTGAAAAAAGTTCTAAGTCAGATTTGTCTGAGGTTATAAGTGTCACGAACCTCGTATAAAGGACGATCACGTGATTCTAATTGATCGACAATTCCTATCGGTGAGCTGATAGTCTGTGCACATCTTTCCAAATTCACTCTTTTTAGTATAGTATTATAATCACCTTAAGGAAGAAAGCGCACAACTATGCAGCTACTGTATAGGTATTTTGTATATATATATAGATGCTCTCTATAAGTTATAGTTCTTCAATTGTAGATTCTAAGGAATATAATTGACCCTGTTTATTCAGCTCTTATAAGATTTTTGTATATTACAATAAAACTTATATTAAGCTTTTTGTTAGATTTATTTACCGGGTATTTTAGACCAATTAGATTATCAGGATCGTGATTTATTTAAACAAGTTTTTCATTTTCTATAATCTAGTATACTACTACTGGCCGGCCGGATTTCACCCGGAATTTATTATCAATATTATTCTATTTAATCTTTATTATTAAATTAACATTTCATTATTTTGATATAAAATTTTGATATATTTGAGATTTATATATATATTTTAATTTTTTTTATTTTTTTTAATATTCTAATTCTAACCTTTAATATTTAATATATTATCTATTAGTTATAATATAAATCTTTATTTTATTTAATATATTAATCTTTAATTTATAAAATAATTTATTATTTAATATATTTTATATTGTTTATAAACAATTCTTTAGTTTTTGTTTAATATATTTTATATTGTTTTTATTATTGAAAATGTTAGAAAACATTTCAAAAATATATACTTTTTGATATCATCAAATATACTTTATAGGATTCAAATCAAGGTTATAAAAAGATTAATCTTGAATTAAAGAAATACTCTTTTCTTAAAACTATATTTTATTTTACAAATAGTATATGTAAAAGTATTATTTTATATAAATTGATACTTTGGATTTAATTCTTCAAAAATAAATTGGATTTCTACTTTAAGTATCTTTATATATAAATTTGTATTATATTTAAACTTTTTGAATATAAATATTACAAAATCATTTTATAAAATGTTACAAGATAATAATCAATCTATCTCTATAAGCTTTGATCTTATTGAAAAATAAAACAATTTATATATAAATTTATATAATAATCGTTTTATATAATCTCTTTACTTTCAACAAACTTGAATATATAATCTGATCTTAATTATATAATAAAGTTTTCAAAAATATAAACTTTTATAGATTTTTTAAAATCTTTAAAAGTATAAACTTTTGGAAACTTCCAAAAAGGATTAATATATAATCAAAATAGTTTTATAATTTAAAAGTTTTGTATTTAATTTAGTTATTAATTAGTTTATTTATATTCCAATTAATCTAATAATATATTTATTTTCGAATAAATAATCAATAATTATTAATCTTAATTTACAATTACTAATTATATAAAAATCTAAAACAATTATTGTTTTAATTAAATTGTTATATTTTGAATATTGTTATAATTAAACTATATATAATATAATAACTTTCAATCAATAATTTATTGAATTGTTTTTATTCAATTCAATCAGGATCTTTATTTAGATTATTGTTATTATAAAATATAAATAAACAATTTAGATATCTATCCTTGATTTATTTTATAAAAATTATAATAAGTATCGAACTTTTATTATACAAATTAATCTTTATTATGTTTTTAACAAACAACTTTTTTTGATTTTTATATAAAGAATTTTATAATTGATTTTCTTTTTTTATAGAATTATATTCAATTGAATCGAATTATTTTTCAATAATTTAATAATCAAGATTATCGATAATCAATTAAACAAGAATATGAAATCTAAAATTCATTATTTTTTTTTCAATTACAAATTATTCAAATAGAGATTCGATAAAGCATTCAAGGAAATAAACCCTGATTATATAATTGAAAGAATATTATAACAATTCAAACAAATTAAATCAATCACAATTTATATTATCAAGTTTCAATAATATATTAAATATATTATATAGAATAATAACTATCTAAAATCATAATTCTATAAAGAATTGAAAAACATTATCAAGAACAAACTAACGAAAACTCCGAAATCATCTAATCTTTTCGAATTAATCAAAACCTTTATTCTTATTAATAATCGATTTTATAAACAATAAATAAAAAAAAAAAGAATCATTTAGAAAAACAAGAAATTCTAAAAACCTTATTATCAAAATAGGTATTATAATATCAACGATTCAATAGAATTAAATAATATCAAATGATATTATATAAAACTAAATAATTTAAATATTAACAAAAAAAAGAGATATAAAAAGAATAATTTATATTTTATTTATAAAAAAAACAGATATATATTTTGAGATTGTTTTCAAAAAAAGAAATCATTTATTATAAAAAACAGAAAACAAATGAAATTTGAAAATAGAAGATAAGGTTTTCGAGAAATAAGAATTTTGAAAGGAAACTCGAAGGAAATAAGATTATTGAAAAAAAATTTACTTCAATCCAATTCTAAATAATTAAAGGAATTGAATATCAATAATCAAAACCTTAAAATCAATATTGAAAACAATATCGATTATAAGAAAAAACCTTTAGAAAATCTTGAATCAAAAAACAAAGAACTAATTAAGGAATTCGAAAAAAACTAATGATTAATTAAATCTCATTATTTGTTTTAGGAAAATAAATTATAATATCTAATCAATTATCTAAATAAAAAATAGATATAATACTATTATAAAAAGGAAAAATTTGATTTTATTGAGAAATATAAAATTTATAATTATTCCATTTTATTAATACTTTATATAATAATATACAATAATATTTATTATATAATATTTAAAGAAAATAATAAAACAAATAATATCAAAAGATATATTATAAATATAAATTCTCTATTCTTCAATGAAGTATAAAAATATAACAAATATAATTTAGAAGTTAAAAATATATAAAAGATTTTATTACAAATCAGAATTCGTTATATCTAATAAAGAATCGATAAAGATAACAAAGAAATATCAAATCGAAATTATTATCAAGATTTTCAAACAAAATTAATAAGATTATTATTTATTATATTTTATTGATTATTAAATATAAACAAATATTAATATAAATAACTGAATCTCTTTATTAAAAAACAAATTATCAAATTATTATTATTAAAACTAAATAATTGTAACGATCTAATCGAGACAGTGGCTGCCTCAGGTTTTTGTATAATTGGTAGTTGTAGATTAAGATTAATAATCACTGGTTATTTATTCGAAGATGAATATATTATTAAATCAATTGGAATATAAATAAACTAATTGATAATTAAATTGAATATGAAGCTTCTAAATTATAAAACTATTCTAATTATATATTAATTCATTTTGGGAGTTTCCAGGAGTCTACACTTTTAAAAACTTCAAGAAATTTATAAGAACTTATACTCCTGAAAGCTTTATTATATAATTAGAATCAGATTATATATTTGAACTTACTAAAGATAAAAAGATTATATAAAACGATTGTTATATAAATTTGTATATAAATTGCTTTGCTTTTCAATAAAATCAAAGCTTATAAAAACAAATTAATTATTATTTTATAATACTCTATAAAATGATTTTATAATATTATTCCTTTTTTAATTAAATATCGTTTCTGATTGTTTATAATTAATATATAATTTATTAATTTTTTATCGTTTTATATCTTAATCCTTTTTTTTATTATAAATGATTTATAATTTAACAAAATTCATCGAAAAAATAAAAAGAAGTTTTATTTTATAACTGAAATCGAGAATTTTAATATCAAAATGATTTTATATATTCATTATCATACAAAGAATCTTTATTATATAAAAATTCTGAATAATTTATAAAAGATTCATTATTTCGAATATATACAATCTCATACCCCTTACAATACAAAACAGTATTTGAAAGATAATTGGGATAAAAAAGTTTCTTAAATAAATGATTAGAAATCTTTAAATAAATAAAAGGAAAAACTTCATAAAGAAGAAGAAAAAGTTATAATTAAAATTCTTTATTTTCGAAAATAACAAAATTATTTATAGGATCATTATAGAAAGATAATTAAACAAGATCTTAAATATCTTGATAAATTGAATACTTTGAAAAAAAAGAAGAGAAAAGAAAAAAAGGAAATTATTATATTTTCAATATCTATTATTAATTCCGATTCTTTTAATTAATTTGATCAATTACTAATTAATCTTATTAATCCAAACGAAATTCCTATAAACGAATTCGATTCTTTCGATTTTTCTTTATAGAAAATGATGAATTCTTTTTCCTTTTAAAT